ACAGGCTAAGATTGACATGCTGGTGAAACTTCGGAGAGATGTCAAATGGGAAACCGGATATAAGGAGAGATAGTTGAGGGCCTGAGGCTGATTTCCTCAGGCAGTGGTTGTCTGCTGCGGCTGCTGCTGGCGTCCGGGGGGCAGAGGCCAGGGATGCGGCTGTACTTCCGACAGTGGACAGGACAGCCCCCTCCTCCCAGCAAAGAACCAGTCAGCCCCAGATGTCAGTACCGCTGCCGTTGAGGAACATGCCCTAAAAAGAGAGGCCAGGCCACAGCTCAGGAGTGCCAGCATTTAGGTGCACAGGTGAGGAGGGCCAGAAAACGGCACCCTTGAGCATTCCCTGTTGAAGTAGGGGGAGTGGCCAGAATGTATGAAGGAATCAGAGGGTAGTAAACTCAGCAGGCATGCTCCCCAAAGTGGAAGTCAGTATTCCATGAGAGTGGGAGAGAACTCTCTGGAGGCAGCATTTGGGGGTGGGGGGGGTGGGGAGAGGAGCAAAGAAGTTCGCACTCCCATCGCCAAGCCTGAGCCATCTGATGTCAGCCCTTTCTGATTGAGAGCTTCCAGGGAGCCAGGTTTCAGGGCAGCTGGAGGCAGCCTAAGTGTGAGAACAGGAGGAGTTGTGTGAGTGAGTGGCAGCTCTTGGAGCAAGTTACAGAGAACCCAGTGGAAGCGGGTGGGAGAAGGCGAAGGGCGGGATGTTGGGTCAGGTTGTGAGATGAGCAGAGCAGTCTGGGAAGGAATTTAGATCATGGTACATGGTCCTGGGAGGTTTGGGGAAAAGTATTTTTTCTGGCAAAAATTGAGATAAAAGAAGATAGATCTGTTGAGCTTAGTTCTTACAGTTCCGGTTGTTAGGCGAGAACTGCACCTGAGGCTTTCCATAAGCGGGCAGTGAGAGGCCGGCGGTTGGGTAGTTTTGTTTCCCAGTACAACTGCACCATTGATTGAAGAATTTCCTTTCTCCATTCAATTGCTTTGGCATCTTTGTTCAAAATGACTTGACCACATACCTGTGAGTCTATTTCCAAACTATCTGTTCTGTTCAGTGATCTCTTTGTCGAGGCTTATGACGGATCCATACTGTCTTGGGTATTGTAGCTTTGTACTGAAATCAGGAAGTCAGAGTCCTCCCTGTGTGCTCTTCAAGGTTATTAGCTGTTGTAAAATAGCCACATACGTTTCAGAATCCCCTTGTCAGTTTCTCCAAAAAGGCCTGTCCACTATTTCTTCTTTCATCTCCAATCTGTTAGTAGGCCCACCCAGTGATTTTTTTTTTCAGTTTGTGTATTATACTTTTTAGTTCTAAAATTTCCACTGGGTTCTTCTTTTTCTTGTTTTAATTTATTTCTGAGATTTCCAGTCTCTAGTACTATCTAATAGTTGGTTTTCATATTTTGTTATTAGAGTTTATTAATGTACTGTCTATAGAATGAGTTTGATACTCTGCTAATACCAGAACCAGAACCTCACCTATTGACATTTTTATTTTCAGGTAGTATAGTTTTTATTTCTGTAGAAGTTCTTTTGCTTTTATAGTTTTGCTTCCCCCTCCCTTTTTCCTTTCCTTCCTCCTTCCCTCCCTCCCCCTCTTCCTTCTTTCTCCCTGCACATATTTTAAGCTTATCTTATTTCTTAAGACAGAGTTTATTTATAACCTGTATCTGATCATTCCAGTATTGAAAGCCCTTACATGTCTGTGTCTGCTCTTTGCTGCCTTCTACTCATGGTACCTTGTTTCCATATGTGTTTAGTTATGGTTGACTGCAAGCTGTTAATTTTCCCTATAATTTTATATGTATGACTTCTTTGAGGTCTGGTATGAAGGTGGGCTCCTCCCAGAAAGGATTTACATGGCTTCTGTTAGATGCCTAAGGCCATCACCAATGTGGCTGAAATTAAGTAAAATTCTTGATATGTGTTTACTTTTTAAAAACCACAGAATGAATTTGAGTTGTAAACCATCATGATAACCAATTCTCAGTGGTGACCAATTCTTCCTTCTTGGTACTTATATTTGTTTGAGACAGGTGATTTTCCTAGCATTTCTCTTGAGGGGGTTCTGCTTGATTTATCCTCACCTTGGGGTCTTGGGTTTTTGCGGGGAGGTATGTGAAAATTGTATTAGATTCTTTACCTTGCATGGGCCCTGGGCTTTATCTGCTGTTCCCCATGTCCTGTGAGGTCTCAAGTTCATCTATGTTAGTATATAGTCTCAAGGTTCAGAAAGCTATCTGCAGTCACTTTCCTTTCCTCTCTGGGTACTTGCCTTCACTTAGCTTTTTGGTCTGAGAATTACTTACATTTCTCTCATGGATACATTGAAAATATTTGGCTCTCTTGACTATTTATAGTGGAAGGGAAATCTGCTAGATGAAAAATGTATTTTTCTTATTCTGCCTGTATAATTTTTTTCCTTTCTAATTTGGAAAGTAAGAGTATTGTTACAGACTTTGAACTGGAAGGCCTGATATAGAAAGTATGTAGAAAAGAAAGGAAAGCTATTTCAAGGGCTGGCAAAAATAGGGCATATCCCTGCCGTATGAAAGGGTCATTAGAGATAGGGTTGGCATAAGGTTAATGAAAAATCATTTTGTACCTTCTCATCTGGAGCTTGGGGTCCTCTTCTAAGCTCCTATGGCTGTGGCAGAATTCAGTTCAGGTTGGCTATTAGTTGCGGGTCATTCCCAGCTCCTAGAGGCTACCCACATTCCTTGTGGAGCAGCCCTTCCAACTTCAAAGCCAGCAATAGAGTCTCCTTTGTGTAAAATCCTTCTCATCCTGTAGCAGTCTGAGTCTAATAAGGAGATAAAAATCACACAGTAGGTTAGGCAGGGGAAGTGTAACAAAATTATAAGCTCTGACAAAAGAGTGTAAGATATAAGGAAACTCTATATGATCCTCGGGCTGAGGGAGACTCAAGGAAAGACAAACTTGAAAAGGATTCAGACCTCGTTGGAGAAGGTGTGGCTCAGTCCACCCGACAGCAGAGACAGTTTGTTGGTTTGGCCAGGCTGGAGTTGGTCTGGAGCTGCTGGGCAAGCAGTGTGCCACCTTCTGAGTACAGGCAGGAGAGCAGGTGGCCAGGGCCTCGGTTTGTGGCCCAGTGCCTGTGCCGGTGCAGCAGGCCTCTGGAGCCTGCGGGCCATGCGGGGACTCTGGTTGTGGGGTCAGAGGCCTGCAGGAAGGTTATTTCCAGGCTGAGGCTACGAGACCAAAGAGCAACCATGTTCTGGGCTTCGCCAAATGTACTCCCAGACTCCCTGTCCCCGCCTGCAATGTCCCTCCAGCTCCCTCTACCGAGACAGCTTATCACCGTCCTCTCTTTAAGGAGAGAAAAAGGAATTCAGTTTCTCTGAGTGCATACTAAAGGGTATGTTCCGAGCTAATCACTCATAAGTGATACACACGCTCCACATGCCTTTTGTCAGGGAGAGCCCTGTCCCTTTTAGGAACTCACCCAAGTAGGTCACGTCCACCCAGGATGACTTCCCTTCCCTCAGGCCAGCTGTCTGTTAGACACTGATCACAGGAGTGACCATCATCGTATTCACTGTCTTGGGTTTAGACGGTGAGCCTGCCAGGGGTTGGGTGTCTTGGGGGACATCCAAGAATTCCGCCTGCCACAGGGGGGAGGGGTGGGAGGAGAGGCGGAGACGGGGATGACTCAGTGCTGCCTGAGGGACTCCTGTGTGCAGCGCACAGGTTGTATCTCATTCCGTGCCTCAGTGCATTGTAGCTGTCTCGCGAGAAAGAGAAGGAGTAACTAGTGTTTATTAAACCTCTGTTTGTCAACTACTCCACAGAGCACTTGCATATAGTCTCTCTTTATTTCTTAACATCTTGAGGCAAGGTTTATTATCTTCACTTTACAAAAGGGGAAACTGAGGCTTGGGGTTGTAAGGCCACTTGCCTGGAGATAGTCAGCTAATATTTATTAGTAGTGACCCAGTGCACAGATTTGTGCACATTGAAATTAATTAGAAGGGGCCGGTGGGGCAGGACTGGGCGAGAAGGGCTGGACACACCCTGGAGCCAACCTCCCACGGCCCCTCCCTGGCGTCTGCGGAGTGAGCAGGGGGTCCCTCTGGCAGGTGGGGGTCCCTCGGCCTGCTTGGCCTGCGGGGATCGGGCCGAAACCGGCTCTCAGACATCCCCCAGGGGTCCCCGAGTGCGAGAGGGCACTCTGCAAAGTTGCTGTTGTACAGCATGTGGAACGCAAATGCAATAGTGCAGTAAACCAGATTCGGGGCGACAGTGCCCCAGCAACAACATAACCCATGGCCGAAGGTGGAATCGCGAGGCCCCATGAGGAATCGGTCTCCCTCCTCTCTGGTTTCGGGGTGCGTCTCCCGAGAACTGCCGCTGCCAAGTCACCGCAGCTCCGGCGTTGAGCGTCTGCTCCTCTGGTGGTAGGCCCCGCGAGGAATCGGGCATCCTCCTCTCTGGTTTCGGGACTGCCGCTGCCAAGTCACCACAGCTCCGCAGCTCCGGCGTTGAGCGTCTGCTCCTCTGGTGGTCAGTGCGCATCATAGCGACCGGTCAGACAGTCGGACATTTAGCATATTAGCCTTTCATATATATAGATAGATAGCTGGATTTAAAACCCAACCCTGCCCAATACTGAATTCATATCTTCTAATAGCATCCAATAATATGTGCCTTTGAAGGAATTTGTTTCAGTGGATTGGGATGAGGGCAGATAGTAGAGATTATCTCGGTGGACATAGTGCAAGTCACTCTTCTGTGTCTCTGCTGTCTCTTAAGGAAGCCACTGATAGAGGTCACTCGTGTCATTGCCCTCGCTGGAGGGACAGTGGATCAGAAGAGAAGTTCTTGCCAACAGGGAAGCAGGCATTTATCCGCTTGATCTGTGCGTCACCGGGAAGTAACCGTGCCGCTCTGCTCCCTGTTCTCATATCTGAGTGTGAAACAAAGGAACAAAGCGAGATTTGAGAGAGTTGGGTGTTGCCTCTTCTGTGGGGAGGACATGCCGTCTGGTTGGAGCACCCTAATCATCCAGAGCTGAGCTGACAAGTGGCCGGGAGTGCGTGTAGAATGAACCCTCCCAGAGCACAGTCCACTGCTTCCTGGTTTCTCTCTCACAAGTTCACGGGCCCTGCAGGGCTTGGTCCCTCTTCTCATTCCTCTTTGCATCCCCAGAGCTGACCTGGAGCGTGGCATTGGTAACGATAGTGGGATAGACCGGGACATTGGTGTCAGCTGGCACAGTGGGACCCCAGAGCCCGGGGTCCCAGCCGGCTCTTTCACGGACTCACTGGGGGGATTATGCTCTCTAGTGCTTAGTGTCCTGTCTTTAGAATAAGGAGCATGGACTTGACTTCTGGCCCATGCCAGCTCTGCAGACTGATGTCACGGCACCATAGCTGCCCCAGGCATTTGAATATCTCAGATGGTTGGTTATGAGGCTGGGCTTAGGTTATGGGGACATGGGGAACAGTTTGGCAGATTTGAAGGGTACATTTCGTTCTCTCTTCCTGGACACATGAAGTAATAGGATCATTGGAATATGACCTCTTCCTCCACCCACTTCCATCAATTCAGACTGGATTTTCCCCTCCCAGTTCTCCACTGTGTTTGTGGAAATTTCAAGTCGGGTCGGAGTCGGAAGGGCAGGCACAGAGCTCAGCTGGTCAGAGGGGGACAATTCCCCCATGAAATTTCAGAGGGAAGGCCTGGGCCATTTCCCCAGGAACTTCCTTGAACTGTGGTTTGTTGGGGTTTTTAAGTGAGATGTTTTGCTTGAATCAAAACATTAAAAATAATATGGAAAATTAAATTCAAAAAAGTTTCTCAATCCTGACATGAGCAAGCAAAGTAGCCTTTGTTCTCGCTTCTAGATATCTCTTCCTTACCTCAGGTACCAAAGGCTTGCCCTGGATTTAATCAATAATCAGCAGATGGCTTATTTCCTTATTCCCCAGATCAGTTTAGATTCTGCTAAAGGGATGCCTTCGAAATGTCAGTACTTCACCAGGTAGCTTTTGTAGTGGGAGCATTAGTCAGACTGGATTTCTGGTTCAGGAGCTGCTGCCACCTAATTAGTAGTGTGAGCGCAGGCAAATCATTTAGCCTCTGCCTGCCTCAGTTTCCTTAACTGTGTTATGGGAGGATTAAAGGAAAGGTTCCAGGGGAAGCAGAGCGTCAGTAATTTTACAAGCTCGCTGGTCATTCCAGCGTGCAGCCAGGAGGGAGAACCCGCTGCACAGCAGCACAGAAAGTGCCGGGAGCTGGGCTTTCATTCAGCGCTGTACGTTTTTGGTGAAGAAAGGGGACAGTCTCGTTTAGGTTCTAACATCCTTTTTTTCACGTGTCCAAGCGTTAGCCAGTTACCTCAGTCCCTGATGAAAGGACGGGCGGCTGCTGTTACCGTCAGCTCTCTGCCTGCTGGGCGTGGGGAAGTCCTGGGTCTGTGGAATTTTCCATGACTGAGCTCCGCACCGTGAGTGAGTGTTCGCTGCAGTCAGAGTTCCGGTGCCTGCCTGCGCGGTCCTCCCTCTTTTATTACCGCGTCAGAGAGATGTTACACCCCAACTACACGTCTTGGTATTTTGTTTGTGTTTAATACTCTAGTTCTCAGGACAGATCAGAGAATCTCATCTGAATTAGCTTTTTGTTTATAAAGTGAGTCAGCTGGAGGTATCTGCTTTGGCCCCGTCTTCTCAGGTATCAGGTTACCTGTCACAAAACCGCCTTTTGTGGGGTGGGGTGGGGAGGGCAGGTGCACTGTTTCTGTGGGCGCAAGCTTCTGTGCAGTGCTGGTCATAGGTGAGCAGCACCGGCCTTTGGATCCTTTGATTGGAAGAATTCTAAAAATGACCGTAAATGAAAAAATAGAGATCCAACCAGATAATGGCCTGGTGGGGTTTGGCTAGTTCCCCTCTTATAGGGGAATTCAAGGCCCTAACATTTCTTTGCTTTGGTTCTAGCTCCGTCGTTCTCAAACGTCATTGGGTTTGTGACTAATTCTACCAGATATAAAACCACTGTGAACAGTATGAGAAAACATTAAAGACAGTTTGTGCTGTTGTTCACGTCTGACCCTGGGGTTCTATGTAACACCATTGTACTTCCGGCATAAGCAGTCCATAATCCAGAGCCACTCCTGTCACTTATAGTCTGAATGAGCAGTTGTTAAAGCCAGCCATTTGGTTCACCTTTCCTGGGGCTCATTGTAGTGGCGATGGTGGTTAGAGAAGGGGCACTCAAGGGTTAGAGCCTAATTGGGAGATGGTGGGCTGAAATTTAACCTGGCTGTACCAGTACAAGTGGGTGTGGCATCTGGGCTGTGGGTCTTAGCATTTGTAGAATGGATAAAGGAACACCAGTTTTTCCCGAGTTTGAGATTAGGTAGAAACACTCTGAGCGGGTAGCGGGGGTGGGCTGGAGGGGGTCAGTGGGGGGAAAAGGAGGACTGTAATACTTTCAACAATAAAGAATAAAAAAACACACTCTGAGGTAAAGATACATGAATTCAGGAAATCTTAGGTACTTAGATGAAGAATGAAGAAACTGAGAAAAGACAGAGCTGTACTGTGAGGAAGCTTCACTTTGTAATACGTGTCGAAACCAAGGCCAGGTGTGTCCTGTGAACCAGTTTGTTATAAGCTGTTAGCTGGGCTCCCTTTAGCACAGTGTGTTAGGAACTTGTTTTGAAGGTTGGTCTAAACAGAGTAGACTCAAGTTTTATTAAAGCTCCTTTCCCCCCATCCTGATTGAAAATGGTCCTGTTCCCGCATGACTTCACCACTTTCGTTGTCATTCCTCCCCCATTATTCTTTCAGTTGGCTGATTGCAATTCTGGCCCAACTCAACCCTCTCTTTGGACCACAGTTGAAAAATGAAACCATCTGGTATCTCAAGCATCACTGGCCTTGAGGGAGAAGACCCGCTGCCCAGCCATCGAGGTGACTATACCCTTGACCTTTCTCATCAGTGTTGTCAGTCACTCAGCTAGAGTTTGCCTTGACTTTTTCTCAGAGTTCTGTGGCCACTTTAACACTTGGCAAGGGCAGGCACTGGAAGCAAACATGATCTCATGAAGAGCAGAAGCAAATTTGGGACTTAGGTCATTTGCTTTACCAAAGGATTTATCCGTAAGATTCTCTTAAATTCTCCTGTTACCCTGCCATTTAAAATCCAGTTTGATGTACAGGATTGATTTTGCATGCCATCTTTTAGGCACAGTTCAGGAAAGCGACCACTGGTAGTTGATGTTACAAGACCCAGCAGCTTCAAGAAGTGCCTTTGAAATTAGCCTTTCTGAATGCTCTGGATAGAGAGAGACAGGTGTTTTTTGAAAATTGGTCTTCAAATTGCAGCTTTTATTTGGTTCTGAGTATTAGAGGTCAGGAGTGGTAGAGCGGAAAGATTTAAACACCAGCTGAGAGGCGGAAAGCCTGTCATGTAGTTTGTTCCTCTGTCTCCATCATTTTGATAAAGTGGAGTTAGTGCTAAATGTTTGACTGGGTTCTGGTACAGCTTTGGGGCAAGGGCACCTCGTTGGTGGTACTGTGCCTGTCAGGAGACACATGGTGTCTGGCTCCCTGGCTTTAGTGATGCTAAGGTGATCAATGGGTTCAGGTAACAGCAGTCTGGTCCTCCAATTGTGAAGTTCTCTGTCGGCCTTCCACCCAGTGATTTTATCCATTACTGAGCGTAGTCTGAATTGAGTGTTTCCGTAGAAATTGCAAAATGGTGAGTTTCTAGTTCTACATTTGATTCGATGAACTCTTTCAAAAAGGAGAACTTCCCCTCATCAATGAGGATTATTGATAAACCTTGAAATATAGATCATACAGGAAAAGCAGAATACATATTTAAGTTTTTAAAAATTTTCAGACTACAAGTTGTTGGTGCTCAAGTTCCTTTGAGGATACCCAGAGAGTTTTCTTGTTTTCCCCTTTTTAAATGTAATCAATTACATTTATTATCCTTTTTATGTTCAACTAGAGGCCCGATGCACAAAATTCGTGCAAGGGGCTTAGCCCTAGCAGCCGCGGCGGCTTGCCTCGGCCCTTGCAGCCCCGGCTTCATCCCAAAGGTTGTTCGGCTGTCTGGTCTACTTAGCATATTATGCTTTTATTATTATAGATTATTATAGACTGTTCTTTCTTTGGCCTATGGGACCCTGTCTAGATGGGCTTATATGTCCTTTTGATACTAGTCTTTGTTTGTTTCCTTACTTTCTGGCAACATCAAGATGGCCCAGACCCCTCTCTTGTATGTGTCCTGGCCCAGGCTTCGAACCAACTGCTCCTCCAATTGCTTTCTGAATTTCCCACCGAAAGGATCCTGGCTCACTCATCAGTCCTCCAGCCCGGCTGGCCCCGGTTCCTTTCAGTGGGAATGGTATTTGCAAGTCAGGATCTGATTGCGCCTGTTTCTGCTGGGGTGTTGTTGCTTCTAAGTCTTTACAATGGACAGAGCCAGAGGTGTGTACTTTTAAGAAGAAAAAGGATCATGAGTTCATGTTAGCATTTCTAATTCAAATTTGACATTAAGGTTTTTTACTTCTTTGGTTTTTTATACTTGAGTATCATTCACATATACTGAAAATCTTAGTTCTTAAAGACAGTAACTTATTTACTTTCGTTATCCTACAGTACATATAAAATAGTTTCAAAATAACATTATAACTACCAACTATAACTTTATTGAGTGCAGTTTAGGATATCTTTTCTGCTTTATTTGTCCTTAGAATGAATAAAGAACATAATGCTGTTTTCTGAAATCCTTGAAATAATTATTGTTTCTAGGGGTTATCAAGTTGATATGTAGTTAGATTAAGTTTTATTTTGTGTTCAATTCATGGTAATTTTTTTATTTGCTGCTATTTTGAATATGTAAAACATATTTCCAAAGTCAAAATTGTAAGCAAGATATATTCAGAGAAGTCTATCCTTTAAGTGTTTCATTTTGCTTAGGATAAGCAAATACATACGTGTGTGTGTGTGTGTGTGTGTGTGTATGTTATCTCCATCCTCCCCCCCACACACACACAGCTATTACGGAAAAGATATCTATACTATTCTATAGCTTGCTTTTTCCCTGAACACAGAAGCCTAGAGCTTGCTCCTATCAGTGTATAGAGATCTTCCTCAAGTCTTTTCATAGCCATTGATGTCTTTCTGGGTTTTTCTAGTCTTTTGCTATTGTTAATAAAGCCACAATAATATCCTGTGCATATGACATTATATATATATTTTTAATCATTATTCAAGGACATGTTCATTGATCTTTTTTTTTTTTTTTTTTTGAGAGGGGGAAAGAAGGGAGGGAGAGAGAGAAAAAAGAAAACACATTGATATGAGAGAGAAACATCAATAGGTTGCCTCCTATACATACCTAACCGAGGATTGAAACTGCAACCTATGCCCTGACTGGGAATTGAACCCACAACCTTGCAGTGTATGGGACAGTCACCTGAGCCACACTGGCCAGGGCGACATTGTATATTTTTGCTAGTGATCTTTGAGTTAGATTCCCTGAAAATAAAATTTCTGGGTTAAAGGTAAAAATACTTTTTTTAGATATTACACATTCCCTTCTCTAGGGATTGTGCTGTTTTTGCATTCCCACCAACAGTATAGCCTGTTCCTCAGCTGGATTTGTGCCAATCTGATAGGTAAATAGTCAGTTTTTTCTTCTTTGCCCAAAGGCGTTTTGATTTCCCTCTTACATAGATTTTTTTAAAAGATCGGATTCATAACATCTTCTTACCTGCCTTTTTTCCCCCGCAAGGTCTCCAGTTTTCTAACCTTTTTCACTATAGTGAATGTTAGGTAAGGATGCCGATGGGGCTTCAAAGCTGAGCACTTCAGCACTGCCTTTCATGACCTCTCCGAGCCTCACCTCCTTCCCTTAGAATTGGGCCCTCTGGCCCTGAATACACTGGTGTGTGGATCTGAAGGTTTCATTGGCCGTTCTTCTCGGTCTTGTGTATGTGTAAACCTAATTGATGACTTCCTAACGTTTGCACTCTGGTCCACAGCACCAACTGGGGCTGCTGCTTGAAACCCTTATATTAAAAGGTTGTTCCTTTAGAAGCAAAGTGCCAGGAAGTAGAAGGGCACAGCCAGGCGAACCGTAGTTATGAACACCCTGTCATGTTTATTCCACGTTTGAGGTGGTGATTATGGCAATACCAGGACTCTAGGCCTTTGGAGTGACCAACCACATCAAGAGATCTAATGTGTGTGTAGCATTGGAGCAGGGAGAACTCGTAAGACAGGACTTCACTTTTCTTGGTGGTAAACTCAAAAGATTGAGCTAATTTTGAACTTTGAACTTTGATGATGAAGTGGGATGATGAAGAGGTGCAGAATCCAGCCGCAGGCCTTCTTCATCTGGTGAGGAAAAGTGTTTGATCTTGTGCATGATTTAAGAACCCAGGTTTGGAAATTAGCAGGTGTAAGCTAGACATGATATTCAGCAAGAGGAAAATGAGAAGCAGTTGTGAAAGCTTTAGAAAAATTTTATCCAGGTGAAGTTGACTTGATCTGAACAATACAGTTGACACCTCGTTCACCTTTTGCTACTTTAATCACTTTCCCTGCCGTGATTTTCTTCCTGTATCGATAGGCTGAGTGCTAGCGTGTCGTATTCATTGGCTGGAAGTCTTGCCCAGAACTGGTCAGAACAGTGCTCTCTCCATCGTCGCCCTGCCAGCCCTGCCCCCCTCACTATGGAACTGTCGCAGCAAGGCTGCTGTTTCTGTCCGGGTCCCGTTTTCCTGCAGCCGTGGGGTGTCCTGCTAGTCTGTAGTCTCCTTGGAGTGGATTTGGCTTCAGCCCGTGTCCTGTAGTTAGTTGGTTTGCCACATCACTGTCCTGTGTTAGATGAGCTTACATGGTTTGCCATGGTCCTAAAGGGCAGCAATTCTGTTTTAGTCCACAGTCTGGACGGAGGGGAAGAAAGGGCATTGGTAATTAGGCCTCTGCCCCGGGGGAGCTGTTTTTCTATGCATTCCAAAAAGATGGGAGTGCTCCTGAGGCGCATGGCCCTGAGCGGGCATTGCAGGGGACCCTGTGAAACAGAGCCAGGCCTGTGACCAGCGAAACAGTGCGGGCTGCTGTGGGTGCAAAGCATGTCTTTGATCTGATCTCTGCCTATTCTGCTGCCACTTCAGACTCAGCCATGTCTCCACTTCACTTCCTGATGTTACAGTTTTCTCTGTCACTTAGCGTCAGAACCTGCTGATCACTTCTTTCTCCTCTTCCTGGAATCCAGTTGATCCTGTTGATGTCTCTGTCTGTTCCTTCCGACACCCTAATTTCTGATCCAATCACTCAGCTCCGAGTTACTGCATGGCTCCTCATCCGGTCTCCCTGCTCCTACAGTCAGTGTATCCACAACCGCGCCCTGTGTGTCTTCCTGGGGGAGCACTTCCTGAAACAGCTCACGGCCTGCCCGGAACCCTCCGCCATTCTCCGTGGGCTGTGGCAGGTTTTCTTAACCTGAGGCCCCTTGGTTTGGCGGGTACAGGCCCCTTGAAATGCACTGTAACATGTTGTAAGCTCAGCTTTGTCAGGGTCACCAGAGGTCCCTGAGCCACAAAAGATAAGAAGGACTAGTCTGCTGGTATGTCCAGCTTTCTGACCTGGCGGTCAAGGTTCTGATCCAATCACTCAGCTCTGAGTTACTGCATGGCTCCTCATCCGGTCTCCCTGCTCCTACAGTCAGTGTATCCACAACCGCGCCCTGTGTGTCTTCCTGGGGGAGCACTTCCTGAAACAGCTCACGGCCTGCCCGGAACCCTCCGCCATTCTCCGTGGGCTGTGGCAGGTTTTCTTAACCTGAGGCCCCTTGGTTTGGCGGGTACAGGCCCCTTGAAATGCACTGTAACATGTTGTAAGCCTCAGCTTTGCAGGGTCACCAGAGGTCCCTGAGCCACAAAAGATAAGAAGGACTAGTCTGCTGGTATGTCCAGCTTTCTGACCTGGCGGTCAAGGCCTCCCGGTCTGCCCTCAGACCACCTTGGCAGCCTTTGTTCCGCTTTCCTCCGTGACCTGTGGTTCCAGCCCCACTGTTTTCATGATCTTGACCTACTTAGCTTTACTTACCTTTTCCTGCCTCTCGCTACCTACAACGTTCATTAATTTAGAAAGCAGATCAGTAAACACCATTTTTCATTCTCTGTCTTACTCTGCTCCCCCATTCTCTTGGGGTTCTTCCTGGTGCTTCTTGGTGAGTGTCCAGCCTGCAAGGCCTTGCACTTCTTTCCTGGCCACTTGGTTTCAAAGTAATGTCTTCCCTCTAAATGTGTTTAGCTCCCCAGTTTTTGCCATTCATTTGGTGCCTTGCCTTGACTTGTTAAATACACACCCTTAGTTTGCTTGACTGCCTCTTATTGTTCATCTCCGGTAGTAAGTACATACATTACACATAACTCCCTGAACAGATTTCCTAGTCTGCCTTGGTGTTTTGATGTTGTCTTCATTCTCAGTTTTATCTGAAAGTAGCCTTAGTGATCTCCTTATTTTCTAAAACGACGGTGTGGGCTCTTTGTCGAGTTCCCCTCCCGCATCCCAGTCTAATCAGAGAGACAATTAGAATACAGGCTTCCTTAATTCACTCGAAAAGCAAACCCTAAGTGTATGCCATTTAACATAACGCTCACTCACATTTATCTTAAATTGGCTATCATTGAGCTTGAGTGAAAATTATTCCCGGTTTCTTTATGGTTTTTCAAAATTGAAGACCTACTTTTTCATTTCGTGATTATTTGTCCAAAAAGGCCTCAACGTTGGGGAGTCTAACAAGTATGTTCTTCCTAGAAAATGACCAGACAGGACATCTGTACCCACTCTTCAGTATCCTCAAGTAAATTCCTACTGGGCCTGGAGCTCAGGTCTGTGCAGAGGAGCCATGCTGCGGGCTGGGGGAGGAGAGAGATGCTCCTTAGAGGA